CATGGGGCTGTCTTTGCTTGGTTCACCAAGCAAGAATCGTTTGACCTGACGAGGTCCGACAGAAGCACGTCTCCCAAGTCCATCGCTGGTGTATTGTCCCACGGGGATGCCGACCACTTTCGTTCCTATACGGCGAAGTGGCCACATGCATAGGTTGCGAGGGCGCCGTCGACGCCCGCAGAAATGAAAGGTGGCTCCCCCGGTACGGTAGTGGACAGGCCGCTATTTCGGCCCAAGCCTGTGAAACCGCGTGGCTGAGAAACGGGGAGTCCGGTTTCCAGACGGTCGGAGATTTTGACCGCGATGGCCGCCTGATCTGGAGTACGGAAGATGTGAGCGGAGCTGAAGTTTTGGTGCCTTTCGACACTAGAGCAGGCACCGACCACCAGTCTCTTTTAGCGCCTGTCGGTGTCATAATGGGGACAGGGTGTCCAGACCTCTCCGAAGCGTCTGGGGCATTCATATTCCTCCTCCTCCGCCTCCTCCTCCTCCTTCTTGACTTGTACTGGTGCCAGCATTGTTTGGCTGAAGGTCTTCGATCGGAAAGAAACTGGGCAGGCGCTTCTCCCGGGCTGTGTAGTTGTGCTCAATGGAGTGCTGAATAATATCCCAGGAATGAAGATATACACATTGTTCATGTCTAATTTGTCGAAAGATATTTTGATTTTTTTGGGGCAAAGATCCTTTCATTTCTAATTGTTCTATCCTGAGTCTCTTCCTGGCCACCAGGGGGCCAGGAAAAATTAGAAACGAGCACAATTAGCAATGAACACGATTAGAAATGAACGACGTGCATTTCCCCGTGAACGTTGAAGAAATTGTTGTCGCTTCGCGAATCCCCACCAGCCCATCCAGAAACGATGCCCAGAGGAATTGCCTCGATCAGAGAAGTGGGCAGCACACAGAGGAAGCCATTATGAGACATCTTGGGATATCTTGAGCCATCTTGGAGGTCATTTTGGGCTCTCCCAGACGCTCTTGGAGTCATCTTAATCCGTGCCCCCCCCCAAGAGGCCTCCATGTGGCTAAAACCTGTGTAGAATCAATGATTAGGCATTCTCGCCGAGGCCTCTTGGAGCATCTTGGGTGCATCTGGGGGGGCTCTTGGGGCCTCTTGGGGGTCTCTTGGGGGCCTCCGGGGGGCCTCTTGGGGGCCTCTTGGGGCCATTTTGGGGCCATCTTGGGACCTCTTGGGGCTTCCTGGGCGCTTCTTGGGGCCATCTTGGAGGAGATCGATCAAACAAGAGGGGGGGGTGAATTAGCGCCCCCCCTCGGAAGCCCCTAAAATCGCCTCTTGGACCCCTCTTGGAACGCTCTTGGAGTGCTCTTGGGCGCTCTTGGGGCCGTCTTGGGGCTCTTTTGGGGCTCTCTTGGGGCCCTCTTGGGCCATCTTGGAGCCATCTCCAGGCCTCGGATGGCCATCGGAAGCGAAAAGGCGAGAAAGCAAAAATCATTGATTTTCCTTAGGTTTTGGGACGATTTTGGCCTCTTCGGGGCCTCCTTGGGGAGCTGTTTGGCCACTTGGAGTTATCTTGGGGCCGTCTTTGGGCTTCTTGGAACCATCTTAGGAGCCATCGTGAGCGATCTTGCGCTATCTTGAGCCATCTTGGAGCTCATCTTGGGTTCTCTGAGGCGCTCTTGGAGCCGTCTTGGGCCATCTTGGACGCTCTAACTACCCGCGGCCCCCCCCGTCCAGGTCCAGGGGAGGGGGTAGGGGGAGGGGTAAACCCCTCCCCAAGGGGGAAGAGGGAGGGGTGGAAGAGGATCTGCTCTAGACCACCTACGCCCAGAGGGCTGGTGGGACTGTGGAAGGTTCTCAGGCCTGGCGAATCGTACATGGTGCGCGAACGCTTCGAGCAAATTCGACTCGGGGTGTCGTCGTGCGCGCGTTGCGCGAAGATGCCAGGATACACGCCCCAACCCCGTCGATTCTTGAAGACGGACCTGACCTGGCGCGGGTTGCAGATGGCAAAGGTGGATCAGGCAAGTAATGCTGATCAGTTGGGTGGTAGTCAGTCTGATGTGCATTGACTCTGGGGGCGACGCGCCGCGGACGGTTTAGCGAAGGATAGAAACAACAGGAGGAGCAATCGTCTCTCGAAGGGGAGATCCCTCGATGAGATGATGAACGATCACCGCAATTTGAGGACAGAGTCGTAAGGACACATGTGCTCGCGTTCTCTTTGGGGAATTGGTTGCCAGGGCCCGACGGCTATCATTCACCTAGCTCAGACACCAGAATATGAAGAAATGAAACCTTTGGAATGCTCCTTGTCGCTCATGTATAGGTTCAGGGCTATCATGGCGAGATTGCGTGCCCATTGCAAGACGCGAACGGCTCAGAGCGAAGACGTGCCCAAGTGGTATCTAGAATTGCGCGCGTTGGTTAACTCGGATCCGGAGTCCCCCGACTTGGGCCCCTTGAGCGTCTTCGAGTGGGATTTGGAAGAGCCCGAAAAGGAGAGGTTCACTGATCTTGGAGACCGCTGAGCAGAATGGGCCAGAAGCCGAGGTGTTCAGCTCAGTCATGAAGCGGCCGTGAGAGTGGCAAGACATGCCCAGTTCGTTTCTCGGCAGGAGCTCGAAAGGGCAGGGGCGCTGCAGTCAAGCTCGAACACGCCCACGAGGCGAAAGGGCTTGGCGAGGCCCTTGATCGGCCTATGAGTAACGCAATGAAGATCAGCGGCGTGCTGTGTCTGAAAGGAGGCGCACATTCCGTTCGTTCCCGAATGCTGGCCTTTGGCTTCTCCAGGACCGTCTCTCCACAGAGGGGGTTGGAGAGCTGCGCGGAGAAGTTTTCGTCCCGTGCGACGGTGGCAGGCAGCTGGGACCCCCCTGGGTTAGAAGTGGTGTGAGTAAGGGCTTGGCAGCGGCTGTTGTCGAGCTGGACTTTTCTGAAGTTCCTCTTGGGGTGATATCGCGGATGGTCCTTGAGAGATGGGATGGCCATAGTTGTGAGGAGCAAGTTACGCCGTGCCATCTTGTTGAAGAGGATTGGTTTGAGCGCGACGCTGTGTGTGCCATCGTCCAGGATCCGAAGTGCTGTAACCAAGAAGAGGCATTCGATGGAGAAAAGATCAAGGAACAGTTCCGCAGACATTTGGGTTCTATGGTGCAGGACTTCTATGATGGGATGTGGAGAGGTAGGTGCGCCCTTGAGGCGACGTTCTTCCCGGGCCCGAGCAGTGCTGATTTTGTCGAGGAGGAACTGGGGGGGCATGGTGCATGCGTGGCCGTGCAGAGGTTGGGCGCTCGGCGACGATGAGAAGCCGCGAGGCGCTCGAGCGAAGATGGAACGCGCCATCCGAGTATACGGAACAAGGTTCACTACGGTGGCGATCATCATGTTGCGCGATGGCGTCGGAGTAGAGTCTCAGAAATCCGCGGGCAGCTGGGCCATGTCCTAAGCAGCTGGGCCCGACAAAAAAGAAGTGGCATATGATGAAGAGAGAACCTGTTGTGCCCGCGCCCGTCCTGCCGTTGGCCTCCAGGGGGATCCCCGGGACTGGATCGGCCTCGGCTGGCTATCAGGGAGGGAGGGCGGCAGGCGCTTGAGATCGCAGCGATGCCGCGACAGCCGATTCGTCCGCCTGCGACGGGGATTCGGGCCGCTGGTGGAAGAAGTCGCGCGGGCGCCGCGGCCACCGCGGCAGGGCCGAAGGGGCCGAGGGTGACCATGGCTGCAGGGCAGGTTCGGCGAAGGGAACCACGACGGGGCGTGCGTATCACTCGGATGTGGCTCCTGCCGGCGAATCTCGCCCCCCCCAGCAGAGGGCGAGGGCGGGGCCAAGGCCAACGAAAGTGGCCGCGGTATCAGAGATGCACGGGGCGACTTGAGCTGTTGGTGGACCGACGCTCGGGCTGACAATCGGAGCGACAGGCGGTGGCAGAACCGTGTTGATCGCGAGGATGGAGCGCGGGCCTCGGGGGGTCACTGCTGGGATGGCAGCTCTTGGCATGCGGGTTCGAGCGGAGCCAGAGATGTCAGCTCCTGGAATGTGGGTTCAGGGCGAGGCTGGGGAGGCAGCTCACGGTGAACGAAATCGAGGCGTGACCCTGGGCTTGGTATCGCTCGGACGTGTGCATTTTTCTTCCGGCGAGGACCATCGAGGAGCATCCTCAATCATTTGGCGAAAAAACCACGCACGAAACCGCAAAAAACACAGGGAATGGACGTCCGAGCGATGGCCAGTGGGGGCCAGTGGCGCCCGCGGGCTCTGTCTGCTGAAGTCCAGCGCTGCGTCGAGCGACCGAGCCTGCGCCGCTGCAGCAGGAGCAGGTACTACTCGGTCGGACGGGTGGTGCTGTACCTTTTTTCTCCGGGCCCGCTGCGGGGGGAGTCGTTACCTTCGCTCCCTCCGCTTTTCTTTAGAGCAACGGTGTGTATATACCTACGTACATACACTGCATACACATATACATATACGTACACACATACATACACATATTCATACATCCATGCATACATACATCAACAGTACATACGTGCATCCATACATATATGCTTGCATGCATGCATGCACATACACATACATACCTTCATGCATTCGCACATTCATTCATACTTACATACATACATACATACATACGTACATACATACACACAAACATACATGCAGGCATACATACATTCGTACAGTCATGCATGTATACATGCATGCATGTATGCATGCCTGCATACATGCAGACACACGCATATACATATATATAGGTGTTTGTTGCACAGCACGCGTTTTTCTCAAGGGATTTGTGAGGAGGACGCAGCAAACGTCTTTTCGGAAAAGGGTGCGCGTGCCTCTCTAGTACCGCGCGCGTGTCACTATCCACTCGCATTTACTTGACTGGACATTGCATCTGTGTGGGATAACATCGTCAAGGGCCCAACCATCTACAACATCTATATGAATAAGGATCCCCAAGGTTACGACATCGGAACAAGGGAGACGCCTATCCGTCAGGGATTGCCGATGATTTTGTCAAGTGCAGAGGACAACGACGAGGAGGAGGAGGAGGAGAAGGTGGAGTTGGAGGAGGAGGAAGAGGGGGAAGAGGAGGAAGAGGTGGAATAGGAGAAGGAAGAGGAAGAGGAAGAGGAGGAGGGGAGGAGGAGGAGGGGGAAGAGGAGGAGAAGGAGAAGGATGATGAGTAGGAGGAGGAGGAAGAGGAGAAGGAGGAGGAGGATGATGATGATGAGGAGGAGGAGGAGAAGAAGAAGGGAGGAGGAGGAGGTGGAGGAGGAGGAAAAGGAGGAGGAGTTTGATGACGGCAAGGGATGTACAGAGGATTGCGAGGGGCGGAGCAGCAACAAATGGTGGCGGCGGCAGGCGCACGCGCGTGTTCGGGGGGCGGGGGCTGCTTCTGCCGCGCCCCCCCCCGTGCGTCGAACAGTGCAGGCCCCGCCGCGGGTGCTGGCCCCAGGCCGGGGGGCCCAAACTGTTCGGTGACCATACCTGGTGGTGATGACACCGCGTAGCGAGTCAAAGGGGGATTCTTGGTTTTCGGGCGTTTTCGTCGGTTCCTGGAGGCTTTCCTGCCCTGGGGTGCGCTCCAGCAGCTGTGTCTCGCCGAGGGCGTTCCTGGGGTGCCAGGATTGCCCGGAACGGCCGACGGAGGCCCGGAGACCCGGAGGAGGAGGAGGAGGAGGAGGACCAGTGTAAACCCAAGAGCCACCAACGACGTTGGAATAAACTCTCCCCCCAAGCTCCCTCCTCATACTCCCCTACAATGGTTCATTTCCACAGAGGGACCTGCCTCGTTGGAAGACAACCGTTTGAAGACCCTGAAGCATGCCAAAACACTGTTCTCGGTATTCCAACGCCACGGATGAACTTGACTGTTGCGTCTTGACGATACTGAACGTGTCAGAACGCCACTCCTGGGACCTCAGCTCCGCGAATCATCGTAACTGTTGCGCCCTCAAAATCGTGAATCCTTCCAACACACCATTTCTTGTGTGTCGATCATGACGACCCGTGAAATCTTGCAATTGTTTAACAATAGTGTGCGCGGCGCTCAGGCGAGAGCCACATTTTGAAAAGGAGCCGCCTTCAATCCGTGAAGCTCTTGCAATTTGTTAGAACGAATGTGCGCGGCGCTATGGTGAGAGCCACATTTTGAAAACGACCCGCCCTCAATCCGTCAAACTGTTGCAAATTTTAAACAAGAGTGTGGTCGGCGCTAAGGCGAGAGCCACATTTTGAAAAGGAACCGCCTTCAATCCGTGAAGCTCTTGCACATGTTTAAACGAATGTGCGCGGCGCTACGGCGAGAGCCACATTGTGAAAACGACCCGCCCTCAATCCGTGAAATTGTTGCAAATCATAAGCAAGAATGTAGTCGGCGCTAAGGCGAGAGCTACACATTTGAAAACGACCCGCCCTCAATCCGTGAAGCTTGTGCATTTTTTAAGACGAATGTGCGCGGCGCTAAGGCGAGAGCACATTTTGAAAACCACCCGCCCTCCATCTGTGAAACTTTTGCCTTTTTTGAAGCTTCAGGGGCATAGATGGTGAGGTAGTCTCAGGCGAAACGCCCGGCCCGCCCTAAAAGCTGGCCTCGGGGTGCGACAGGGAGAAGTTATTTCTAAGGAAAAGGAGCGGAGGAGGAGGAGGAGGAGGAGGAGGAGGAGGAGGAGGAGGAGGAGGAGGAGGAGGAGGTTGACGACGACGAGGAATTGACGGAGACCCGAGTTATGGCTCAGAAGCCAAACATTCAGAGGAGGGCTGGTGTGGTGAGTCAGTGGGAATTCGGGGTGGCCGCACGGTTTTTGGGACTTGGGCCGTTTTCTCTCCGGGGACGTCTCGGGCGCCTGGGGCCTCCAGGATCCCCAAGACCGTGCGGTGACGGGCCGTGCGGTGAGGTCTTTTGGGGATTTCGGGGTCGCCGCACGGTCTCTCACCTCACCGTTTCGGGGTCCCCGGCCCTCGAGGCCTCCGGACGTCCAGGAGCGCCTCAAAGTCCTCGACGGTCGATCGCCGTGCGCAGCTCTTGCCGGGAAGCCGAGTTCGCGTCGTGTGGCCATGCGAGCGCTGCACACGTGACCAGGTGTCTTTCCAGTGCTCGGGCCTTCTCTGGCCGTGCACACCGGGTTTCCGCATGTGCACCCAGCGCGCAGCCTGCAGCTGTTCCACACGTGAATCTATAGTCTTAAGTCGGGCATGTCCCTCTACAGGAGGAACAATCAAGAATAGTTCAAAAGAGTCCAGGTGCGATTTTTCGTGCTCTCTGGGCAATTTTGGAGTATTTTGACTATTTTTTTCATTGTTCTTCCCAAGTCCACCTGTGGGTGGACATGCCCGACCTAAATCTAGCCACGTGTGTTTCCAGCTTGTTGGTAGCTCGCGCCCGCCCGCCCGCGGGCAGGATCCCTACCTCGGGTCGGTGCTGGCCAAGGCGTACGTGCGCGGGGTGCAGTCGCAGGGCGTGTTCGCCGTGATGAAGCACTGGATCTTCAACAGCCAGGCCGGGCAGGGGGGGCATCTCCTTCTCTCGGGGCTCAAGAGACGGGGGTCGATGCAAACGAGGGTCAGTCAGAGCGCCGAATCTCGCAGGATCCTGCAGGGCCGGGGTTGCACTGACCCGAGTTTGGGTGCAGGACCCTGCAGGATCCTGCAGGACCCTGCAGGATCCTGCGAAGCCTGACTGACCTGGGTCTGGATTGACCTGGGTCAGATGATCTCCGATCTCCCCTTCCCGCTTCCTTCAGAGCGGTAGCACGGGCCCTCCCTTCCTCATTCCCCTTTCCGACCCGCACCCCCACCTCCTCCATGATCCCCTCCTCCTCCCTCCTACCCTCTCCTCCTCGTGTGTCCTCCACCGCGTAGGCAGCGCTCGGAGGGTCTAGCTCTTGACCTGTTGCAGTAATTAGGCTGTTAGTTTGGTCGAATCGGCGGATGCGTGTGTGTGTGTGTGCGCGCGTGTGGGTGGGCCCATCCGTGCAGCACGCGTGTCAGGCTCCCCAGGTCCACACCCCTCCGCTGGAGGGACTTCGAGGGCCTGGGGGCAGTGGCTCCCAGTGCGTCGCCGGGAGAAGAACGAGCGCCAGATGGCGCAGCACTGCGAGCGCCCAAAGGAGGCCGTGTCGCAGGCCGCCATAGCTCGCGGAGGTAACGTCGTCTTCGTCGCTCGTCGGCGTCGTCGGCAGTGACACGCGGGCTGTGTTGGCACGTGGAGAATCCTCGTCCTTCTCTGGCCCCCGACGAGCACGAGGAGGACAGGGACCTGGAGGTCGCCGATCGCCGATCGCATACGTTCCGCACTCATCCGCCTCCATGTTCCACTCTTCTTCCTCCTTCACTCCTCCTCCAGCCTACTCTGGGTCTCTTAATAAGCGTGGGGGGGTACCCCCCTTCGACGGAGGTCAACCTCGCCTCGTCGTCGCGCCGCGACGGGGGTCGGAGCGCCTTCGGCGCGCGGTGGCTGCCCGCGACGGGGGTCGATGTGGGGCTGTCGGCGGGGGTGACGCCCCCCCCCCTCGACGCTTATTGACAGACTCGGGCTACTCCTCTTCCTCCCCCCACCTCCTCCATTCTCCACTCCGTCCCCCCGCCCCCCCCCCCCCTCCACATCCACGTGCGCGGCCAGGCCTGGCGGCAGAGGGGGTCCAGGACGGCGCCCCCCGCGGCAGAAAAAAACCGAACATCCGGGCGGAAACACGGCCAGCCGCGGACCGGACCGTGGCCGCGGCAGCGCCGCCGTGGGCAGTTCTCCGCGCGGGGCGCTCCAGGCAGGGCCTCGCCTTCGGGGGAGGGAGAATCAGGAGGGGAAAAAACACACAGACACAATTCATCATCGATTTCCCAGAACATAGAGGAAAATATGGGAAGTGGGGGGGAAGACAGAAGCCCAGAAAATCTGGGAACATATGGGGAATCCTTTTACTTGTGTGTATATTCATTTGTGTGTCCCAGGTCCCCTTCAGAGAAGTTGGCATCTCTTCCTCGGCGGAGAGCGGTGGAGGGCCCGCGGGAGCTGGCGGCCGTGAGCTGACGGGCGGGCCCGCGAGCGGACGCCCGCGGGAGGCGGGCGGAAGCCGGCGGAGGCGGACCAGTCGTCCCCGGGGGATGCCATTTTTGGTTGGATTTGGGGGGGGTGTCCAGAGCCCGCCCCATTCTTCACCTCATGCTCTCCCTCTTCCCCAGTGCTTCTTCCGCCCTCTCGTTCCTCTCGTTTTTCTCCGTTGGGGGAGTATTGGCCGGGGGGGGTCAGATAGGAGACTGATGGTGAGGATCGGAGGGGGGAGACGGAAAAGGAGGAGGAGGAGGACCAGTGTAAACCCAAGAGTTATCAACGATGTTGGAATTCACCCTCCTTCCAAGCTCCTTCTTCATAGGCCCCATACAACGGTTCATCTCCATCGAGGGAACTGCTTCGTTGGAAGACAACCGTTTGAAGATCCTGAGGCATGCCAAAACATTGTTCTTGGGATTTCAACGCCACGGACCAACCTGAGTGCTGCGTCTTGACGATCCGTGCCAGAGCGCAATTGTTGGGACGTCAACACCGCGAATCAACATAATTGTTGCACCCGCATAATCCTGAATCCGTCCATCACACGTTTTCTGGTACGTTGATAATGGGAATCCGTGAAACTCTTCCAAAACTTCTGTCCGAATTTGCGCCGCGCTAAGGCGAGAGCCACATTCTGAAAACCACCCGCCCTCAATCCGTGAAACTCTTGCACATGTTTACAACGAATGTGCGCCGCGCTAAGGCGAGAGCCACATTCTGAAAACCACCCGCCCTCAATCCGTGAAACTCTTGCACATGTTTACAACGAATGTGCGCCGCGCTAAGGCGAGAGCCACATTCTGAAAACCACCGGCCCTCAATCCGTGAAGCTCTTGGAAACATGGGCCACATTTTGAAAAGGAACCGCCCTCAATCCGTGAAGCTGCGCAGAGGGAAGTTAGTATTTAATGGTCTGTTCGGCAGACGCCCAGGCAGGTGACCTAGCACTGCTGCCCTGGAACTGCCAAGAGCGGCCCTGCATCATTCCGTATCTATTTCGGCTTACGGCAGATTGTGTTTTTTGGAACTCTTGGTGCCATCGACGGCATGGCGGGCGATCCATCTTACGCGGCCGATTATCTTCGGCCCTATGGGTTTGAGGCTGGCAGTGCCGACTCCTGGCAGAGCGCCGACACGCACTGCACCCCTAAGCTCATGGTCGGCGTGGCAGGGCACAGCGAGGTGGCTGGCCACACCCTCTACAATATCAGATGCTCGCTGATGGGGGAGATGTCCTCCGTGTGCATGGCGTGGGAGACAGGCCGTCGGCTAAAGCACATACTCGGCGGCGCGCCGAGGGGGGAAGCTCCAGGGTGCAGGCCTCTTCTCGGCAGGCGGCCGGGCTTCTTGGGAGCCTTCCGGCCTTCTGAGAAGCCCGCCGGGTCTGCGGAGAAGGCACAGAAAGCTTCTCAGAAGGCCAGAGGCCGTCCGAGCCTCTGAGGAGGCCCGCCCCTGTCTGCCTCCCCCCTGGGCGCGCCGCCGACATACGCCCACTGCACGATGCCCTGAAGGACCACATGGGCCACGACCGGTACATGCTGCACTTCAGGGAGTCGCCCTTCGCCAGGCGGCTGGCCCCTCCAGGGACCAGCAAGCGGCTGCACAGATGGCTCCAGCGCCTGGCCGCTTGCTTGAACGACTTCCTCGTGCCGCCGTCGCTGGCGTTCCAGATCCTGGCGTTCCTGGAGCTCAGGGGCGGCGCTAGGGGGAATTAAGCTCAGGGGCAACGTCGGGGGGGGATTTCGAGGTTCGAATTTTTTTCGGACGTCTTCGAAGGTTCTCAGCGGTTTTCCAGCGTCGGGGTGCCTTCCAGCGGCTGCGCCTCGCCGAGAGCGTCCCGAACGGCCGCCGGAGACCCGAGTCATGGCCCGAAAGCCAGGGGGCAACGTTAGAGTGGGGTGGGCACAGGGGACAAAGCATCGACCCCCGATCGCGGGGGTGATGTATCGACCCCTGATCGCCCACTCTTTGCCGACAGGGACCCCTGATAGCCCACCCAGCCCAGAAACGTGCGGATTTGCGATCGAGAGCCCATCGCCGATCTAACGGTGGTGCATCGTCGATTCACGGTCGAGGCTTCCCCTCCTGAGCGATTCCCCCCCCTAACGTTGTCCCTCGGTTTTCGGGCCATAGCTGGGCTCTCTGGCGGCGGTTCGGGACGATCCAGGCACCCCAGGCACGTTCACATCGAGGCGTAGCTGCTGGAGAGCATCTCGAGGCTGGAAAGCCGCCGAGAAACGACGGCAACGCCTTGATCAGGTGGCGACCTCCGAACTCTACCCCCACCAGCCATCGATTCTCCTGAATCGATGGGAGGCGGGGGTAGGATTCGGATTTCGCCACGGGTTCGACGAATTCCGAACCCTACCCCCGCCGCCCATCGAGTTGCCTGAATCGTTGATCGGCGAGGGTAGGGTTCGGATTTCGCCGCCGATTAACTTTGCCCCTGATCCAGTCCCCTCCTATCGTTGACCCTCAGGAGCCCCCCACTCCGGTGACCTCGGCGTCAGGCCGGCTCGGCGCTGGCGAAGGCCAGGACGCCGCGGACGCGTTCAGCTTCGACATAGGCGGCGAGGACTCGTGGGCGGGATCTGAGAGAAGAAACGAGATGACCATGACCACGCTGTTTCAGGATCTTGTCGGCGCCAGTCTTGGTCCTGGTCTATGCCAGCCGTCGTCGAATTGTGAGGATGATCCACGAATTGGCGGTGACCAAGATGTTCGATGCTCGTTTTGGGGACCTTCCCAGGGCCCACCTGACGGATCTGTTCGATGCAGGTTCGACGCAGGTTCGATGCAGGTTCGACTCAGGTTCGATGCAGGTTCGACTCAGGTTCTATTCGAGTCGACGGACGTTCGGCGCAACTTCGACGCCCGAGTGGAGCGAGTGGCTCCAGGAAGGTCCCCAGAATGAGCATCTGAAAGATGAGGCGATGACCAAATTCGGCACCTCCGTCTTGGTCCCGGTCGCCGTTTCTTTCGCAGGCCTAGAGGTTGACACCAGCACCAAGATCGGCGGTGTGCCTCCACCGAGGGAAGACGATCCCGATCTCGGTGATGGTGGTGATATTCTTGCTTTCAAGGTGACCGAAGTATTACCACCAACACCGAAATCTAGGATCATCTTCCCCATGTGGAGGCAACCCCCTGTGCTGGTGTTGGTGCCAATTTCCAGGCCTCCAATCCTTTCCCTCCGGGCAAGCACATCCAGAGCCTCGGCCTCGCGGGCCGGGCCTCCGGGCCGAGACCCCGTGGGCACTTTTTTTGATCTGCAGGGCGAGAGCGAACCTCTTCCGCTGAAAGCTCCGCGGGACGCGCACAGCTTTAATCGAAAGAGAGGGGGCGAGGGCGGGCGGGGCCTCACGCGGCCGAGAGCGGGCGGAGCCCGGGGATCAGGCTGTGCCGAACGGGACGTGCAGGAGAAGGTACACCTTGGACAGGAGCCCGGAGGTGAAGTCCCGGGAAGAAAAGGGTCGGTGGTGTAGCCGTCAGCAGCGCTTCGCGAACACCAGCCTCACGTGCTGCGGGAGAGGACGCGCCACTTGACCAGGTCGACGCCAGACCCCGTGGACACGTGGCTGTGTTTTTTCTGCCGACTCCCCGCGCGGCACGCGTCTGCCGTGCGACCGCGCACCCGCGGGATCGCGCCCCAGAGTCCAGGCCGCGATGGCATGGACCTGGACAGCGTCAATCGAGGCCTCCCAGACGGGGTCCGAGAAGATGGTGTCGGCGGATCGCGCCGCATCGTCGATGCATCGGCGATGCGGCTCGATGTGGAGCCCGATTTCCTCCACGCCGACTTCGCCGATGCGTCGCCTACGTCGCCGACGCGTCGCCGCCGTCGGCGATGCATCGCCGATGCACCGCCGATGCGTCGCCGATGTATCTGCGATGCATCGGCGCGATCCTCCGACCCCATCTGCTCCGACCCTACCTATAGGGGGCCTCAGGGAAGCCAAGGACTGCTCCGGCTCGGAATGGGCTGCTTGCTCCTCTGGTCTCCCCCACGGCTGTTCCTCTGGCGCTCGTCGTGCGCCCACGCCTCTCTTAAAAGGGCCGAGCATGTGCTCGGGTCCTTGTGCAGCGTTCCTTGTGGCAGCAGCTCGACCGTGTGCAGCCAGGCCAAGAGGAGGAGGCGGAGGAGGAGGAGGCGGAGGAGGAGGAGGATATGTTATAATAAGCATAAGAATAATAATAAGGAGGAGACGACTAATAATAATCATACTATGAGTAATAATAAGAGGAATACCAATAGTAATGCTATACACAAGAACAATAGCAATCATGAGAAGACTTCCACCACCACCACAGAGCCAAGCATCCAGAAGGACGCGTGGGCAGAAGAGCGCGCAATTGGCAGCCCTTCGGTAATTATTGAAAGAGGCACGGCAAATGAAGCGCCTCACGACTGTGAAGCAGAACGCAGAAGCGCCCGACTGTATGACGAGGAGGAGGAGGAAGAGGAGGAAGAGGGGATCCTGCCTACAGTTACGAGAGAAGCTCATAGACCGATGTGGCCCAACGCTGCGCGGCAGCCTTCGCTTTCTACGAGAGGCCCATTGTCTGGGAGAGCCGTCTACGTTGCAAAGTACAGATTTCGCCAGGCACGAATCACTTCAATTTGCGATCTTGGTGTACAGCGCCGTCTGTTTGTCAGCTAATATGTCAGAGAGTGGCTTCGCTCCGGCTTTGTCTAGCACGATGGAGTTGGCGACCCTGGAAATAAACGAGGGCGGGATACCCAATATCTCCCGGATGCATTTGCAATGAAAAGCGTCTAATCGATCTCATTCGCCTTTCGAGAAGCCATACTGAATCCAAATAATACAAGATCTTGGTCAAGACGCATGCGGAATATATATATATATATGCCATCTGTTTACAGAATAGCATGTGTAGCTCCCCTCGTGTAGTTTGTTCAGAAGATGCCAGTGATGCTCGGTTTATAAACGTGGACGCCCGGGAGGGGGCGGGGGAAATTCTGTACAAAACGACCGTTTTGTACAGAATTTCCCCCCTGGCGTTTTGAACGTGTCTGTTGCACTACGGTGAACTCCGCCGGTCGCAGCTCATGGAACGCATTGGCATCGCAGCGGGTCAGAATGATCAGGATTCGCCGGCAGAGTCTCTCAGCACATGTCTGTATTGCTCTGTCCGTGGCTATCCTGGCTCAAGTTTTTGAGGGCCTATGTACTGGTATTCCGATATCGCTTCTTGGTGCCGCGATATCGCCAGCATCGGCGCACACTGGTACACCGCCTCTGTGGTCAGCTCGTGCCCGGCTCCGCCCGCGTGCCCGACGCTGACCTGCGCGCCCCAGCCGGCGTGCCCGCAGGTCACCTGCGGCAATTGCTCGTGCGCGGAGGCCCTGCCGCTCCGCGAGATCCTGTGGGGCTCGGCCGGGGTCGCTCTGGCTGCCGGCTCTGCGGGCCTCGCCGCTGGGGCCGCGGTGGGCTTCGCGGCCGGGCGCCTGGTCCTGCTGCCAGGCGCTTGCCAGCGCCGGCGAGAGGCTGGGGCGGGAGGCGCCCAGCCGCGGCCAGGCCCAGCCGCCGAGGCCATCGTGGACGAGCCTCCGGCCCAGGCGCCGGCGTCGAATCGCGCAAGGTTGCTGGCGCGGGCAGGCACAGGACAGGGGCAAATCGTGACCGCCTAATTGGGCAATGGCGCTGGAGCCAGGTATCACCGTTTTCCTCAACTACGGGGGCGCGCTCTATCATGAGCGGATCCTGCTGGCGTGGGTGGTAGATTCGCTGTTCATCGTCATCACGCCTGACTTTGACGTGTACATTGAACAAATTGACGCTTCTAATCCAGATCTCGAGGCTCTGAGGGTTAGCGACCATGCGGGCTCGATCCCATTTGGGCTCACGGGGGCGCAGCTATATCGCTTTCGAGCTCGGCCCGCTGGAGCTGACTTGGTGAACCTCATGGCCGAGGGTCGGCACCACGCGAGAGTGGAGCGGGCGGCGCGAGGCCTGGCCCCGCCACCAGGGCAGGACGACATCATCGGCCCGGGAGGCAATGCGCCGGCGGTCGTGCCCATCCCGTTGCCTGTGCCGCCGCCAGTGGCTCCTGGAGTGCCCGCGGTTCCCATGGCCCCGCGCGTGGCGGGCGCCGCGGGGGCATGGGTTTTCGACGAGCCGGGCGATTCCTTCGCCGTCGGCCAGGAGTTCGCCCTGCCGGCCAACGCTCTCGACGTGGGGGGCCGGACATTCGTGTCCGTCAACGGCAAGGCGGTCAGCGGGACGCGCGTCGCGGCTGGGACAGACCTTGATGGGTGGGCCCGGCAGCGCCAGGCGCAGCTGATGAGGGCGGACCCTCGTGTCCTGCCTCGCCCCGCTGGCGGTGAGCAGTCGGCTTTCGTCGACGATGTGAGGCTGATGAAGCGCGACCCCAGCGTCCCAATCGGGATCAAGGGCCCCGCCACGCTGCCCGACACCCTCGCGGACCTCAGGAAGGGCTCGACTGGGGGGTTCACGGCCGCGCACGACCGTTGGTTGGTGGACTCGAAGGTGCCAGCCTCCAGCAGGTCCGGACACGAGCATCGTGTCCTGAGCCGTGCCTTGTCGATGGCACATGAAATCGACGGGCTGAACTTGCCGAACTTGACGTGCCTCGAGTACATTAATCGTCGCCGTCAGCTCATCGAGACGGCCCACCGCGACGATCCCGTAAGCGGGTCGTGGGACTCAGCCCATTTGTACATGGGCGAAGACGAGGAGGGCACCGGCGTCCACGTGGCGCCGTCGCTCCGCGCCCATGTCGCCACTGAGCTGTCCAAGGAGACGGCCATCGAGAAGGAGAGGAGAAAGGCCCGCGAGGCCAAAGCGGCGGCCAAGGCAAAGGCCAAGGCCGCCGGGGACAAATGACCAGTGGAGAGATCGGAGGCGGGCCGAGCCCCGCGGGCGCTCATCCTGGCGCGCCCGCCTCCATCGACCCTCTCAGCCAGGACGACGGCGTCGCGAACGTGGGTTGGGCCTGGCCTGATCGTCGTCGAGACGTCGCACAATTCGAGCCGACGGTAAAGTCGGCTGGAGTGGAGCGGGACCTTTTTCCCCTGCCGCTCCTCGGCCCGGAGTGGCCTTGCAAGACAGGTGGCGGATCGTCCAGGACGGCTCGCCGCCACAGCAGCCTCCGCCGGCACGCATGGGAGGACGCCAACGGCATGGTCCGCGCCCTGAACTCCCTGTGCGGGTGCGTCCGTCCGCCAGGCGGGGCTCCGACGCCTGCTCAGCATCAGGTACACAGAGATCTGCTGAGCACCGCTCGTGCTGCCAGGCAAGATTTTGAACACGTCGTTCCCCGGGAAGCCGCTCGTCGACTTCTGGGTCCCAAAATGGAGTATGGAGGTGACGGCACCACGGTCGAGCCATTCGACGGGGACCGCGTCTCCCTGCCCCCTCTCGGCAAGGGGGCGGCCTGCCTCTCGGGCGCGCTCGACCCGGAGGCGGCCGCAGTTTTGCAGAACTTTGAGACTGACCTGCTCGCCTCGCCTGACGTGGTGGAGCAGCGGCGTATGTCGGCGCCGGCGCAGCCGTACCTCGACCTCGAGTTCCGGGCGAGCCGGCCCAAGTA